GACGAGGACGAGGAGGACGACGACGAGGACGACGAGGACGACGAGGACGGCGAGGACGACGAGGACGAGGAGGACGAGGAGGACGAGGAGGAGGATGACGACGACGACGACGGCGACGACGACGGCGACGACGACGTCGACGACGAGCGCCTCGAAGGAACTCGGGATCTGCCGGACGAACTGCAGCTTGCCCTTTGGGCACGGCGCGACGGGACACCATTCGCCAAGCTCACGTGATACAAGTGCCTGCTTCTCGAAGCAGCCGCGCGTCTGCGGCGATCCTCGCATCAGGATGTTCGCGGGCTTGATGTCGCAGCGAAGGAGGCCCCTGTCGTGCATGTACTGGAGCCCTTCGAGAACGCTGTTCAGGACGTGGCGCATCCCTGTCTGCGTGAAGGAGGACTTCTCGAGGAATTGGCGGGCATCGATCTCGAACAACTCGTGCACGAGGCCGATGTGCTCCGTCCATTTCCAATCTATCCTTGGTACTGACTGTTGCAGTTCTCGGCGCGCTTTCTTCGGGGCTGTTGCAGCTCCTGGGCACAACCCCCTGAAAAGGCCCACGTCGAGTAAGCGAACGAGACGCGGCTGCGTGCCCACAGCGCCGTGGCGCGTGACCTCATCCAGAGCCCCATCCGACGGCATCTGTATTGAACCCCCTCTGCGCATCGCTGGGGTCGCCCCGCAGCATCTTGATCGCAAGGCCAGTCCTGTCGCCCCGTCGCGTGCCCAAGTAGACCTTGCCGAAAGAGCCCTGACCGAGCTCCCCTCCTTCCCACTGCAAGTCGTACTCGAGCGGCAGGTCCTCGCACTTGCCATTCTGTTTGTTTTGGTACGCGTGCCCGACCGCGTCAAGCTTCAGTGCAAGTAGATTAACACGACCCTCGTCGTGGGACACCGCTCTCGGGCCAGCAGACCCGCGACGAGCAGCTGCCGGCGGCGCAGGCTCCGATACCCCGTCCGCGGCGGGAACGAGCACCTTCCCCAGCGCGTCCTCTAGGGTTTCTCCTGCGACACCGTGGCCCTCGGCGACAGCTGGCCCATCTTCTGCAGCGTTAGCTGTTCCAGCCCATTTCGCGCACCCTGTCACCCCCACAGGCTTGCTCACATAGTCTTTCCAATTGGCGCCCAGCGCTATCTTGAGGAGCCGCGTGCAGGTGTCATGCGAAACTGGCTTTGACCACGTCAACACACATTTGTTCTTCGTTACCCTCTCCAGCGTCACTTTTGCGGTCGGGGCCCCTTTTGCCACCCTGGCCATGCTATTGCTGCAGGCCTCCCGCAGCTTCTTGTTGATCTTGTCGTCGTTCGACCCGTCACCCTGCAGGTAACAGCCCCACTTATAGAAGAGAACCTTGTTCCTGTCGCGACCGCTGCCGCCCGAGGCAGCCATCGCGGCGGAGGCCCGCTGACGGCAGTGTCGCCCCCGCGGGCCCGCTAAGTTTCAGTGAACCGAGGCGCCTGCGGGCCCCTCCTCCGTCCTCCTCCTCCCCCTGCGGCCGCTCCTCGGAGCGTTGCCTCCCGTGTCTTCCCTGCCCTGCTGCACCCCCATCCTGGCCCGCCCCTACAGAGCGCCGTGAGGATGCAAGGGCCTTGGCGGCATGGCATCTGTCGTTTATCCAGCTCCCCAGCCTCGGAACGGAAAGCGTAGGATGCAAGGGTACCCTTTGGAAAGGTAAGCATCCTGACTCTGCGCCCTGCCTGCGCCGTGGGCCAAGTGCGACGGGCGGCGACGAAGGGATGACGGAGGACTATGTTCCTATATGTACGCAAGGTGCCGTGTACTGCACAGGCCAGAATGTGGCGCGCGTCCCATTACGAGAACGGAGGCGACGCCGCCAGCGCGCGACTGTTGCAGTCCAAAATCAAACAAGTGGCAGCTCCACGGGAACAGGAGCGCGCGGGCTGGCTACTGCGTCGGAGCTGTCGAATTCTGTTGCAGCCTGTGCTCGAGCCTGTGCTCTGTTTCAGCCTGTCTTCGGCGTCTTCTTCTTCTTCGAGGCCGAGGAGTCGTCTGAGGACGAGGAGTCTGAGGTCGAGGACGCGTCGGCGTCGCGCGTCTTACCCTTCTTACCCTTCTGATTTTCATCCTCCCTGTCCTTCTACTTAGTATCCGTCTTGTCCTTCTTCTTGTCCTCCTTCTTGCCCTCCTTCTTGTTGTCCTCATTCCTCCCATCCTTCGGGTCCTCCTTCGGGTCCTCCTTTGCCAAGCGCAGCTGCACAGAGCGTGCAAGCAGGTCCTCGTTCACGAACACCATGGCGCTGCTCCCGAGCATGGCCTCGACGGCGCGCTCCACGAGAAACGGATCCAACACCTTCGCGTGGTGGTCGTCGAAAATCAAGGCCCACACACTGCGCCCGCTCTCGATGCAGCCGTGCATGCCTGCGCCGCCCGCAGGCGCGCCGAAATGCACCCACCTGGGCTTCCCCGCCTCGTGTCGATGTCGTTGTCGTGCGGGAACCAAGGCACCTCCGTTCCCGTGAGCTGGCGGTAGAGCTTCCGCTTCTTCACGGCCGCAGTCACGAGGGCCTTCTCGGGGCGGACGGCTGTTGCAGCTTCGTCGCGCGCCTCGGCGCCGCAATCAGCGCCCTCGTCCTCCTGGAGAGGGTGGCAGTACCCCAGCTTCTCTCGCTCCTCGGCCTCCACCTCGGTGACGCACTGGCCGACCATGCTGGCCAAGCTGGTCTCCCGAACCTGCTTGGGCACGAGGGCGTGGCTCTTCTGCGGCAGGACAGGCACGTTCCTCATCACTTCGTTGAAAAGGGGGCTGCCCGCTTCCACGAACTGCCTGATCTTGGCCATTTGCTTCGGCTTCCTCCCCTTGTAGCAGAGCAACATGACCTCGTGCGAGCGCGAGTTCGCCAGGCCTCGCTGCCTCTGGAAGTGGCCGTACTGCTGCATCTGCTTCGTGTTGTAGGCGAGGTGGCATGTGACCGTGCGGAACTTGTTTGCGGCGAGGATCTGCTGGATCTTCGGGAGGCTCGACTGCGCGCGGCCCGTCAGCACCCGCAGCGCGTCCCGTCCACCGACCATCAGCTGTTCCAGGGACTTCAGGTAGCGTGTGAAATCCAACTCGTCCAGCGCGGGCTCACGGCACGTGAGGCCTTGCCCCTCGAAGACGCAGCGCAACTTCGTATTCTTGACATCGTAGAAGCCCATCACTGATGCATTATTTGTGAGGTTCTGGTATAGGCGTGTCTTAATAACCGAAGCGTTGATATCCATGGCGCTGCCCTCTGCCGTGATCATGACGACCCGCGTATCCAGCACGGTAGAGCACTGCTGCTCGCACAGCGCCTTGAAGAAATTCACGTCGCTCGGGGAGACGTCGATCTTCTTCTTGTCCTCGGAGGCCGCCTCCGCTGTTCCAGCGCCGCCCGCTGTTGCAGCACCGACCGTGTCGCTGTCTGCAGGCTTTTGCTCGGGCGGTTCCTGGGGGTTTCCCACGAGGGAGTCGTACGCGATTTGGAACTTCTCGAAGAACCTCTCGTTCACTCGCACGCTCCTGTGGAACTTGTCCACGTTGTAGCGCTCGGCGTAAGGCTGGGCGAGGGCGCCAGAGATCTCCTGCTTGTAGAAGTCCTGGCCTATTTCGAGAAAGTGTTTCATCGCCAGGCGCAGCGCCTCGGTCGGCAGTGACTGCACCCAGGCCAGGTCCTTGTCAGGCCCCTCAGTCTTCTCGAAGAACTTGAGCGGCGAGTCGAGGTATTGCCTCGCCATGACCATGACTTTTCTCTCGGCTGCGTTCTCCTGTGTGTCTGTTGTTTCAGTGCTGTTGCAGCCAGTGCTCCCTTTGAACAAGTCTGGGTACTGTTTCAGAAAGTTCGCCACGTATTTCTTCGCCCACAAGATCTCGCCCACTGCCTGGCCGATGGTGGAGGCGCTGTACGGGTCCTTCACGCTCTTCCGCCACATCCGCGCGCGCAGGCTTTCCAAGACGTACCCCAGCGAGGTAGCGTCCGTCTTCGCGATGATCGCCCCAAGCTGCGTGGGCCTGCCCAGCAGATTGTCTCGCCCCCAACGGTTCACGGCGGCGTCCGAAAGCAGCAGTGCCCCAGGGCACTTTTCGAGAGCAGGGCAGGACTCTCTCCGGCCTCTGGGGCGCCACTGGTTGTGCCGGGCGCGAACGGACGCGGCGGCGCAGCTTCCATAGCCGGGGCGCCAGCTGCTTCGCCAGTGGCGCCCTGGGCGCCCAGCCGGGGTTCGCCGTCCATGAGAAGCTCACTGACGGGGGAAGGGGGGCGAATAGGCGCGAAGAGGTTTCTCCCGACGAGCCAGCGGATGGCTTCGCTGTCCTGCGTCTGGGTGGTTGCTCCGCGGTCTCCCTGCAGGGCGTTTGGCTCCCACAATGGACTGCTGACGGACTGATTGTCCTGAGGGGGGTGCTCCGCGGCTTCCGCGGCCTCCGCCGCCTCCGCCGTGACTCCCCGCCCCTGTCCTCTGGCCTGCTGGTGCAGCCGAGGGGGGGGGGGTCGTTAGTGTGAGCTGTGCGCTGGTCACTGCAGGCTACCTCCCCTCGATTCCCCACTGGGGCGTCATCGTCTGACCACGATGCGGGGGGCGGTATCGTGCCCTCTGCCCCAACCGCCTCTCGCTTCCCCTCTGGGACGTCATCGCCTGTCGACGCAACGGGGGGTGGTGCGTTGCCGCTGCTGCTGCTGCTATGCTCCGATATGTCGTTGTGCGTGGCAGGATCCTCCGGATGGCCGTCTGTCGTCGTCACGGGGCGCTGAGGTGGCCCGTGCTCAGGGCGGTCGTCGGGGACGGGGCTGGGGCTCGAGACGCCGCGATTTGCATCTGGCCTAACGGGCCCCATTTCACTTCGGGGGTTCGGGAAATATCGAACCCGCGCTCCCTTCTGGCCTAACGGGCCCCATTTCAGCCGTGGCAGAATCCTCCGGATGGTCGTCAGTCGTCCTGGTCACCACGGCTGGAGCCGCCTCGAAATTCTGAGTTCCTGGCCCCGTGACGGGGGAGGTAGAGGAAGGAGGAGGGGCGCCCTCCAATTCCTGGAAGAGCACGCCGATGACCGCCGTGATGGCCAGACGAAAGTTGGCAATCTTAGCCGCCAGCTTCGACCGCCTCGCCGCGGCGACGCTGGCCGCCGGCGCCTTCAAGTCGAAGTCGCCCGCCGAGACATCGGTGCCAGCAGACTGGTCCTGGAACAGCTCGCAAAGCGAACAGTAGGCCACGATTTGCCCCAAGCCTGCCGCGGGGACTTCGGAGATGGCGCTGATCGCCATCATGCCCAGGCGGCCGTGCGGGACCTCGGCATTCAACCTGCGCTGCCTGACCGTGGCGTCGGTGCTGTAGAGACCGATAGGCCTCCATCCGAGCTCGCCCGGCTTCCTGTCAGGGTCCGAGTTGTATCCGAACGGGCCCGACTCGCAGTAGAGGCAGTGCGCCACAAGCTGCAGCCAGCCGGGTCCTGGCACCTTGGAGAGGCAGCCAGCCCCTTCGGGACGTCCTCGAACATCACCCCGAGAGACGGGGAGATCTCGCCAGGAAACTTGCCAGCAACCTCGGGCGTGATGTAGCCCATCGTGGCGAGCATGCTCACGCGCCCATGCTTGATCTTTGTCTCGCGGCGCCTCTTGAAGGCCGCGGCGCCACCGTCCTTCGCGAAGCCTGCGGGGCCCCAGAAGCCCACTGGCGCCTGCACGCCCAGCTCGCTCTCGAAGGCGCGCAGCGGGGAGACCGTGCACAGCGCCCCAATCGCCCCACGCGCTTCCCGATGACCGCCATCATCGCCGGCCTTCCGTTCGCGGTCTCGGCGTTCAGCTTGCGGGCCTCAGGCTCGCCGGCCGGCAGCGTGCTGCCGTTGGGCGCGCCCAGGACGCCGCCATTCTCGTAGTCGCCGGGAGCCCTCGGCGGGTCGTACAGAAGCCCACCAGCACCTGCGCGCCCAGTTCGCTCTCGAATGCGCGCAGCGGGGAATCCGTGCACAGCGCCCAGTCGCCCCAGGCGCTGCCCGTGAGGCCGCCCTGGAAGAACATCCCGATGATCGCCATCATGGCCAGGCGGCCGTTCGCGGTCTCGGCATTCATAGGGGGAAAACAAACCTTCCTCGCTTTTGACCACCCTCGCTTCCAAGAGATACCAAACGATGCCAAATTGCAGCCTGTACTGATCAGGCCGCTTGACGAGGAGGCGCGTGGTATGGCTTGGTTTTGCCTGGAAGCGAAAGCGGGGTAGGTAATTCACGCTCTGAATTCAGCCCCGAACTTCACCCCGAGAAACGGGGGGATCTCGCCAAGAAGCTTGCCAGCGACCTCGGGCGTGATGTAGCCCATCGTGGCGAACATGCTCACGCGCCCATGCTTGATCTCTGTCTCGCGGCGCCTCTTGAAGGCCGCGGCGTCGCCGACCTTCATGAAGCCTACGGGGTCCCAGAATCCGGTACTTGTAGATGCAATCTGGCTCGCAGCCAGAAGGCAAACTCCTGTGAGCACCCACCAGAATGACCACCCACAGGGGGATCCTGCACCACGCGATTCCCGGGTGTGCAGTAGGTTGCATAAAGATACATGACAGCGTTCTCCCACAAACCGCAGACCAAAGAAGCCCACGGCAATCCACATAATCCAGCAGCGGCGCCACCAGCAGCTACCACCCATGGTGAACCTCGTGAAAACGTCCTGGAGCCCTGGCGCATGCCCGAAAGCATCGTATGCCCGTCGACGCCGATGAACACGGTAAGGTCGACAATCCGCATCTCGTAAGACTCAACCGAGAGCGGCAAAGGCACCGCACGCTTATCCACAACCGATGAAAACAGCCATAACGCAACGTCTGAATCATACAACGGGCCCAAATAGGAGAAGAGGCGATCCTAATTAGAGGGAGCCGGCTTCACAGCAAACGGGAACGCGGAGAACAAGCGCCTGACGGCATAGGAGCTGTCCAACCATCCAGCCACAATGTGCCTCAGAATACTGCAGCGACGATATGTAACATGAATAGCATCAGACATGACGGCCACCAATGGCACGATGGCAAAGTACACAACGAAGCAAGGCAGCTGGTGGGGCTCCAAAGAGGACCTCCAATAAACGGCGGAACAACGCAGAACAAACATTGCAATGATTAATCCAAGCGAATTCGCATCTATCTGTAGAGACGCCGCATGAGCCATACAGGCGTACTGTAAGATCCGAGCATTATGTCGGGTGTGTGCTGACTCACATAAGGAGATGAGGTCGTCTGCCCCACAGGCGTGCAATCATAAAACACATAATCGGTAGGTCTTGCGCCCATCAGGGCAACCTGGGCCACCCGACCGGATGGCTCCCGAGGCACCGTCTCGCCTCCCCAGCCGCCATCACCCCCGGCATGCCTCGGGGCGGCTGGATCAACAGCGCCGGGGAGCCTACGGGGTCCCAGAAACCCACTGGCGCCTGCACGCCCAACTCGCTCTCGAAGGCGCGCGGCGGGGAGTCCGTGTACGTCGCGGGAACCAGGGAGAGGGCGCCGAGGCCGCACAGGACGTCCACGCCAGCATCACGACCAGGGAGGCCAGCGGCGGCGGCCGCCGCCAGCGGCCCGCCAGAGGCGGCCGCGGCGGCGGCGGCAGCGGCGGCCGCGGAGGGCGCATCGGCAGGCGCGGCGGCACCAGCGGCCGCGGCGGCCACTGCCGCGGCCGCCGCACCCGCGGCGACCGCGGCCGCCGCGGCGGGCCCCAGGGCGGCAGCGCGCGCCACGGCGCCGGCGGCCGCGGCGGCCTCGCCGCGGCCGGCCACCGCGACGGCCGCGGCGGCCGCGGCGGCGGCGGCGGCCGCGCGGCGGCGCCGCCGGCCACGCCGAGGCAGCCAGGGGCCGCGCTGGGCCGCGGCGGCAGCGGGCCGGGCCGGGCCGGCCGCGGCGGCGGCGCAGCAGGTGGCGGCGCGCCGCTGCCGCCGACGTTGCGCCGAGCGCGACTCCATGGCCGAGCGAGCGGGGGCGCGGAGGGGGGCGAACCCCTCGCACGCCACCGCGGGCGGGGGGGCCAAGGACCGAGGGGCAGAGGCCCGGCCACGGCCGGCCAGCCGCTGAGGCCCGCTTGAGCCAGAGCGGCCTTGAGCCTGAGGGGCTTGAGCCAGAGGCTACGGAGGCTGGTGGGGTCACGCGTGGGGTGTAGAATGTGGGTGTGACGGGTTCAAAGGTTTCTTCTGAAACTGCATGCTCCCATGGTGCTGGATGGGCGGGTGAGGATACGCGAAAGGTCAAGATGTGCGATCATTCTTCTGCCTAGAATCCGCATAATCAGCGCTGGCCCAGGATCCTGCGGGGACGAGAGGGGTAATGGGATTATAACGGGAAGCGTGAAGTCTGGATACCCGAAGTGGGTACGGAAAAATGTCGGTACGATGCCCAACATCACATGTTGTCCAAACCCGACAGCGGCCGCTGCTGTGCAGGCCGCCGTCTACCTCAAATCGGCAGCGTCCGCGGCGACACCGGCAGCGAGTCTTGCCCAAATGAGCAGGAAATAGTGCTGGTCATTGTACTCACTCTTTCCGTACCCACTTCGACCGTCCCGATGAAGGCAAAAAACTCGAACCAGCCCCTTCCGCGCCCCGCAGCCTCGCAAAACAGTCGCGGGACTCACGCCCCAGGCTTCGGGGCAGCAGGGCGGACCCTTGAGCCAGGGCCGCGGCAAGAACCAACGAGGCAAGCGGGACCAGGGCGCGTGCGACAGAATCACGAAGGGCTCTTGGTCACCATGTCATGTCGAGGCAGCCTAACTCTTAGAATACAGAACGAAGAACTCTTAGGGGGGGGAATCCAGCAGGCACGTACGATCATAAACCATCATCTAACAACTATCTAATTAACAACTGTAGGGACATGTAGGCGCATATCCTTGGTCTGACATTGAATTTCGTAAGGTGCCGCAGGGGTATCCACGCATATCGGAAGATAAGAAACACCCGTGGCACACACGCTAGCAAAACAAATTTTGATTTCGCGCAACGCAGGTACATCTTCTGCCGGAATTCGCCAACGGCTGCCGACAACAGTCTTGGACTGACTATAGAGAGAACGTCCGCACTTGCGTTTTAACATGCTACGCGCCTGCTCGCTCGATGCGGCATATACGCATCGGTAGCAAAACACGTTCCGTCCAGAATCCTTTACACCACCCCTCTGACAAGAGGCATAGGAAGAGAGTGAACGCATTCGAGGTTCTGTCCTACAATAGTGTAAACTGTCGTAGCGCATACACCTGCCCTGCTGATGAGCTGAGTGCGCAGCCGCCTGGTCGGCCGCAAGATCCACACCACGTGGGCCAACTTGGCACACACTTGTAACTAAATGTTATAGGGGATATATCTATATCTATATATATATATATATATATATATATATATATATATTAGAACCATCGCGCGCGCGATTCGCGCGCGCTCAAGTTCTAGCTAGCTTCTTGGGGCCTCCTCGGAGCATCCTGGACGGCTTCTTGAAGTTGTCATGGGACCTTCTTGGCATGTCTTCGGGGGCATTTTAGAAAGAGTTTTGAAGCCTTTTGGGTGCCATCTTGGGGTCTCTTGGAGCCTCTTTTGGTATTCTTGGGGGCCTCTTGGGGCCTCTTGGTGACCTCTTGGAGTCTCTTGGGGGCTTCCTGGGGGCATCTTGGGCCTCTTGGGGGCATCTTGGGGCGGAGAGCTTGATTTTTCAGTTCGCGTTTCCTCTCTTGGGCCCCTCTTGGGGCCTTCTTGGCACCCTCTGGCGCCGTCTTGGGCGGCTCGGGGGCCGTCTCAGGGCTCTCTTGGGCCGTCTTGAGGCCCTCTTGGGGGCCTCTTTGGCCGTCTTGGACCGGTTTTGGAGGCCTCTGAGCGGTGCATTAGCGCCGGAAACACGAAACAGCGAGAATGCAAACATGTTGCCCTCTCGGGGCGCTCTTTGGCGTCATCTGAAAGGCCTCTTGGGGCGTCTTGGGGGCCTCTGGGGCAATCCGAAACGTATCGTGCATCGCCAAAGACCCCTGGACGGCGTCTTGGGGGTGTCTCGAGACCGTCTGGGGCCGCTGGGATTGCTGTCTGAGGGCTCCCCCGGGCGATTTTAGGCCTCCCAGAGGCGGGCCTGGGCCCCGGTGCCGACATTTGCGGTCGAGGTTCCGGCCCTCGGCCCCCGGGCCCGGTGCGCCGATATACGTATATATGCACACTAGAACCATCGCGCGCGCTTCGCGCGCGCTCAGGTTCTAGCAGGCCAGGGGCTCGCTGGAAGTGCGTGGACAGCGCTATCATGCACAACCGCGTGCCATAATCACCCATCCGCACCCTCATCCCCTCGAAGTCTCCCCCCCGTCCTACTCATCATCCTATTAATCACCATGTCCATAACCATCATCGACAACAACATCACGGGAAACCTCTTGCCCAATGCTGCTGCCATGCCGTCACATCAAGCTCGCGTATCATCCCCCTCGTGCTCTCTATCCTTCTTCTCGGATTACCATCCCCACCACCACAACCACCACAACCGCACAACCACCAACACCACCACAATCAGCATAGGCATCAGCATCAGCATCAGCATCAGCATCATCATCATGGTCATCATCTTCACCATCATCACTATCATCAGCCTCATCTTCATACGAACTCCTCATCTTCATCCTTATCATCCTCATCATCATCATCATCATCCTCATGCTCCTCCTCCTCCTAATCATCGTCATCATCGTCACCGTCATCGTAATAATGATCCTCATCCTCATCTGAATCAACGTCTTCATTATCGCTCCCATCACCATCACCATCATCATCATCATCATCATCATCATCATCATCATCATCAGCACAGCTACGCTAATCGTGCTCGTCGTCACTGTCAGCGTCCTACCCACAATCATTGTCCTCGTCACTTCTCGTCATCGTCGTCGTCGGCCCCGATGTTCCCAGAGGCTTCCAGGGACATCAGGCCGACTGCGCGCCTCGGGAAGCCTCTTGGGGGCGCTTGGGTGGATTGGGAATGGGGGCAGGCCCCTGGAACTTGCTCAAGAATCTCTCGGGGTCCTCTCCTGTCGTTTCGGGAAGCCCCAGTGCTGTCTGGAAGGCATCGAGGGGCCCGAGAGGCCGGCCCATCGAGAGCGAAAAGCCGAGTTCTTCAGAACCTGTAGTTTCCCTTTGGCTATTGGACGATCTGGACGTCCTGCAGGCACCTTGGAAGCATCGGGGTGCTGCCTTGGGGCCTCGAGGGGGCTTCGCAAACTGTCTTAAGGCGCTCTTCGCCCGACTGATTTGGGTCGTCTTGGGATGCTCTTGACTGATCTTGAAGCCGTCTTGGTGGCCTCTGGGGCTCCTTTTGGGAATTTCTCGGGCAAGTCTGGGGGTTCTCCAAAACCCTCAGAGGCGACCGCCGGATTGAGGTGAAGGAGTATGAAATATCATCGTTATCATGACCATGACGATCTTCAACATCATCGTTATTGTCACCATTGTTATCAGCATCCGCGTCGTCAGTATCGTCACAAGCACCGTCTTCATCATCGACGTGGTCCTCACCATCTGCATCATCACCACCATCGTCATCATCGTCATCGTCATCTTCATCATCGTCGTCCTCCTCATCTCATCATCATCATCATCATCATTATCATCATCATCATCGCATCTATGAACATGCCCATGATCATCATCCTCAGCAGCATTATCATCATGTTCACCATCATAGCAGCCATCATCGTCATCATCATCATCATCAGCATCATTAGCATCATCATCATCATCATCAGCATCATCATCATCATCATCATCATCATCATCAGTCGCATCACCATCACCATCTTCGCCACAAACATCACCAACATCGTGGCAAGCAACATCCTCTTCGTCATCATCAGTAGCAGCATCGACAGTAGCGTCATCATCACCACCAGCATCATCATCAGCTCCATGATGAAGATGATGGTGATGATGAGGAATCTCATCATCATCCGTATAAATATCGTCATTGTTGTGATCGTTAGCACCACCGTAACCCTAATCATCATCGCGCCCATGAGCAGCGATATTGTCGTCATGATTATCTTGGACACACCTCGGTCCGTCCTGGAGGATTCCTGGAAGCTTATTGTGACCCTCTTGGAAGCCTTGTGAAACCACCTGGGAGGCATCTTGAGCTGCTTGAAGTTAATATCATTATGATCATAATGGTAAGTAGTATTATCATCATCGCCATCATCCACACCAGCAACGTCAACGTCATAAGCTTCATCCCCATCAGCAGGAGCAACATCGCCATCACCATCAGCAGCACAGCCACTGTCTCTTGAGCCCCGATGGACCCTGAAGCCTTCTCCCCCGGGGGGTCGCCTGGTTGTCATAAATCATGTTGTTTCCTAAATGACTCTGAGTTGTCTTGGAGAAACAATTGTTTGACGATTGCTTGCTGCTTGTCATATCTATAAGCAAAGTAAAAAAAGGTGGTGGCCTAAACAACCCTTGTCTGATGGCGTCTCTCTACCGGCGAGACCCTGACCCTGCTCG